GAGCTGTGCCCAGGCCTCTGTGCCCACCCAGGGCAGCCTCAGCAGCTCTGCCCATGCCGCCTCGATGCTGTTCACTGATGTGTGCAGGAGCTGCAAATGTGAGAGGTCCCATCCAGATGCAACATGAGAGCTGCTGGGAGCAGTTCCTTACGTGGCTGGGCACAGAAGCAGGGTGTGTATGAGCACCTCTGCAGATGGCTGGAGCGCTGAAAAGGGGATTTTTCTCTTGAAGTATTTCTTGGACTTCTAAAGGCCCATGATCAATGGGCCTTCTTGTTCGGCATCTCTGGGACTTGAAGAAAAATTTCAGAGCGTGGTTTTCTCACTGTTAATTGCCTGCTCCAAATCCTCCTCCTCCTCTCATGCTGGTTGCAGAACCCGTGCCAGGTGCTGGCTGCTGCACAGCCGAACGCAGCAAGCTGGGAACTTGGAGGGGAATGGCTTTTTGTTACGTTTGTTCTTCCTTTGTTGTTTTTTGTTTTTTTTTTCTTCTCTGCTGAGCATGACTTGCATGAAAAATCGAAGCTGGCCTTCAGGGCTGCAGCAGTGAGGGGAAGCCCTGCTGCTGACGTCTGGTTTGCTGATGGCGCTGGTTCTCTGCTGCTGCTCTTGCATCCGTTCACAGCCCAATAAGTGACAAATGATCCCTTGCAAGGGCCCTGTGTTGGCTGCGTGTTCAGCTTGGGGTGCAGCGTACCCCAAATACGACAGGAGATGCTGAGAAACGGGCGGCCAGCCCCGGATCACGGAGGGAAGCGCTCTCAGATGGAGCTGATGGCACCTGGCTGGGTTATACTTCCCTGCTGGAAGCACTCAGCCGTTGTCCTTTCTCCCCCCGCAGCACATCGCCAACTACATCTGCGGGATCCAGACCATCGGGCACAGAGTGATCGTGTCGGACGTCCAGGAGAGCTTCATCTGGGTGCGCTACAAAAGGAACGAGAACCAGCTCATCATCTTCGCCGACGACACCTACCCGCGGTGGGTCACCACCGCCACCCTCCTGGATTACGACACCGTGGCCGGAGCCGACAAATTTGGCAACATCTGCGTGGTGAGTTGTGCCTCGGAGAGGTCGGGGCTTTCTGAACGCGGATGTCTTTTTCCTTAAAACACCCATGATTTGTCTTAAAGGAATGAGAATCTGTGCTCAGCTGGAGGCAACGCCCTGTGCCATTCCCTTGTTTTTTATGGGGCGCCGGCTGTCGTCACAGCGGCCGGCTGCAGTTTATCAGTTTAAGCGAAAGCAAACAAGCTAAAGAACCATCGGGTCAAAACCCACTGCCTTTCTGAAGCATCTGATGACACTTTACCTTAGAACTGCCCCAGAAATTGCCGTAAGCCTTGAATCAACACCTGGCCTCGTGGGCCTTTTCACAGCCACTCATGTCAGGGTGCTGGCTCTCACTTTCCCTGCCCAGACCTCGGCACCAGCGCTGGTTTCCTCTCTCACTTCCTCTGAGAGCCGGTGTTGTCAGTGCCTCCACTTCCCTGCTTGGCTGGCCTGCAGCCGGGGAGGAGGAGAGAGCAGGCAGCCTGTGCCAGAGCTTTCATCTCTGCCTGAAGTGTGCTTGGGCGCGGTGAGTGTTGGGCGTTACGCCCGCAGGATTTGGCCACCGTGCACAAATTAATGCTCCTGGTGTCCCTGCCCCGAGCTGGGCTCGTTAGGGGGCACCCGCCTTCAAAGCAACCCTGCCTCCTGGCGTGGTCTGCACGTGCCAGGCAGAGCCTGCTCGAGGTCTCACATTTTTGGGTCATCAGTGTTAATAACACGGTTGCTGATAATCCTGGAGCCCCTGCTGGAGGGGACAAATTGATGATTTTATAAAATCTTTATAATAAAAGCTTTATTATAATAAAGCTTTCCATGTGGAGACACCCAAGTGGTCCGTTCAGAGCCCCGAAGCCTTTCCCAAAGCTCACCGCTTCCCTGCACCTTGCTGACCCTTCCCTGCTCTTTTGACACAGGTGAGGCTGCCTCCCAACACCAACGACGAGGTGGACGAGGACCCCACGGGCAACAAAGCTTTGTGGGACCGCGGACTCCTTAACGGGGCGTCGCAGAAGGTAAGGCTTGGTGGGAGCTGCTTGCTGCGGAGCCAGTCCTGCTCCTCTGTGCTGCTCTGGTGGGATTTCAGCATCCTTGGGAGCCAAATGCAGCCTCTGCCCATCGGGTGGAAGCTGCACACTTGTTTTCTTTTCTTCCTCACCCTCGTTACATCCCTTTGCCTAGCTGGAAGGTAGATGAGCAGCACGCTGAGCTGTGCCATCTGGTTGTAAAGCAGTCTCAGAGCTAGTGGGGGGTGGGATCTATTTTTTTTCCTCTCCTTTTGCTGCTTTCATACGAGCTGAACGCCCGTGCTGCTGTGCTCGACTTCCAGGCCGAAGTGATCATGAACTACCACGTGGGAGAGACGGTGCTCTCGCTGCAGAAGACCACGCTGATCCCCGGGGGCTCTGAATCCCTCGTCTACACCACCCTGTCAGGGGGGATAGGGATCTTGGTCCCCTTCACTTCCCACGAGGTAAGCGGACCCTGTCATCACGCTGCAGTTTGCGCTGCATCCCCAAGCTGCCTCCAGGGCTCTGCGGGGCTGCGGGACAGCTCGGATGCGAGGGGGAGGAGAAGGAGCTCGATAACTCCTCCTGCTACGATGGGCTCGTCAAGAGTTCAAAGCTTTTCTTGTCCCACTGCTGCTGGAAATCCCTCCTGGGTCTGAGGGGGCCGTGTAGCCTGCCAACCTGCCATGTTGTTTTGGGGCCTTCTGGAGCAGCGCGAGGGGGTGACCACCGCCAAAACCGGGCTACTGACCACCAGAGCTGGGCCACCACCAGCCCTGGCTGAGCCTGGTGCCTGGCTCGTGCATGCCGTAAGCGTGCAATGATCTGTGCTCTTCTCTCCTCAGGACCACGACTTCTTCCAGCACGTGGAGATGCACTTGAGGTCGGAGCACCCCCCTCTCTGCGGGCGGGACCACCTCAGTTTCCGCTCCTACTACTTCCCAGTGAAGGTGGGTCCGGGTGTGGGGCCGGTTCTCACATTTCGGGGGCTGCTCGGGGACCTCGTACCAGCAGATCCCGGCCTCTCCTTGTTGAGGGGGAGGTTTGTGAACCAGAGCTGGTGTGGTGGTGACCAAAACTTCGTGTTTGAGGAGCTGTGGGACCAGGGAGCTCCAGGAACGAGCCCTTTGCTGCCATTTTCCCCGCTCAGGCAGTGCTCGGTGCCCTCGCACCCTCTTGCTTCACTTCCCTCCTTCTTCCCCCCCCAGAATGTGATCGATGGGGACCTGTGCGAGCAGTTCAACTCGATGGAGCCCAACAAGCAGAAGAACGTGGCCGAGGAGCTGGACCGGACGCCCCCCGAGGTGTCCAAGAAGCTGGAGGACATCCGCACGCGCTACGCCTTCTGAGCAGGATGCTCCGGGGGTGCTTCCCCGAGCACGTGGGGAGGGAGGAACGTGTGTGGGGTCGTTTTCATTTTGGTTTTCTTCTTAAAACAGCGCTTCCTTCCCCTCGGTTCATGTTCCAACCTCCCACGATCCCACTGAGCAGCAGCCACCAGCTCTCCCCGTGCACCCCCCTGCTCCTTCGAGGGCTCCTGGCGTTCCGGCTGTCCTCTGGGGGAAGCGCTCCAGGAGGGACACCCCCCACCCCCTCAGGGGGTCGTGCCCTGACCCCTCCAGCTGCACCCTTGTAGGACGGGAGCTTTTTGTGCAAATTCCCCGATTTTTGGAAAAGGGAGCAGCTGCAGCGTGGCTCAGAGTTCGTTCGCGGGGGTGCAGGCGGCTGCCCGGGGGGTGCACGGCCGCTCTGCTCCCTCCCGAAGGGCGAGGGGGGTTCAACCTCGTCTTTTTTGCCTGTTTTCTCTGTAAATAGGGTTTTGTACAATGTCGGCTGTCCCGGGGGTGGGGAGGAGCAGCAGGCAGGGCCCGGCTCCGGGCCTCGCTGCGTTTCATAACCCCTTTGGCAGGAGCCGCGGCTCCGCGCCGTGCCCCAGCAGCGCACGCAATAAAATAAAAGCCTGGTTTTGGTTTTTAACCGCTCCGACTCCGCCGCCTCTCCTTGGGGGTTTGGGGGGGGCTCTGCAGCACCCTGGGGTGCCCCATGAAGGGGGACAGAGGGGCTTGGTGGGGGCTCCCCCACCCCCCAGGGCATTCCCCTTCCTGCCCCCGCTCTCCTGCGGTGCCTTCCTCCCGTACCAGCCTCATCCTCACCTCGTCACCCTGCCCTTTGCCCCCTTCCCTTTGCACCCTCCCCTGCCTCCTCCCCGCGCCTCCATCTTACGGGGGGGGGGGGCGGGGGCTGCACCCTGGGGCTCCAGCACCCCATAAAGGCCCCCCCCTTCCCCAGCACCCCACTTTCGGGGCAGGGAGGGCTCCGTGCTTCACCCGGGGGGGCTGCGGGCTCCAGCCTCGGTTTGGGACCCCCCCACCGAGCCCCCACTTGGGGGTCCCTTTCCCCGGAGGTCTCCCAGCACCGTGCCGAGGGGGGATCCTCCCCCGGGGTGCCCCCACGGGGGTCCCAAGGACCCGGTGCCCCCCCCCGGGCTGCTCGGGGAAGTGGGGCCGGGCCGGGGGGGGGCAGCTCCCGGCAGCCGCCGCCGCCCTGACTCGGTGCCAGGGGAATCCCGGCGGCTCCGGCAGCGCCGCCCCGCTCCCAGCGCCGGGGGGGGGGCTCCGGGAGAACCGGGGGGGATCTGTGCCGGTCCCCCCCATCGCCCCGATCCCTCCCGTTACCGGATTTAGGGGATCGGGGGGGGGGGTCCGGCCCGGGTCCTCCCGGTTTTTGGGCACCCCCAGGGGCTCCGGGGAGGCGGGGAAGGGGGTGCCGGGCTCCGGGGGTTCCGTGCGCCCCCCGCGCACGGTGCCCGGTGCCCGGTGCCGGTCCCGGTGCCGGCCCCGCCCGCTGCCGGCCCCGCCGCCGCCCCCCCGACCGCCTCCCGGGGAGCCCGGCACGGCCCCGCCGCCACCGGGAGGGACCGGGACGGGGACCGGGACCGGCACCGGGACAGGGACAGGGACAGGGACCGGCACCGGGACCGGCACCGGCAGCGCCAGGTGGGCACCGGGGCGCACCGGGGCGCACTGGGGGGCATCAGGGAGGCACCGGGGGGGTAGGAGGGGGGCTCGCGTGGGGTTTGGGGAGGGGAGAGGGGGATTTGGGGATATGGGGGGTGTGGGGGGGACACCGCGTGGGGACATGGGGGGGGCACTGCGTGGGGTCAGGGCTCGGGGACAGGGCGTGGGAACGGGGCGTGGGGACATCCTGTGGGGTCAGGGCGTGGGGTTAGGGCATGGGGACAAAGTGTGGGGACGGGGCATGGGGACAGGGAGTGGGGACACCACGTGGGGATACGGGGCACGGGGACATCGTGTCGGGGTGTGGTGTGGGGACACCGTGTGGGGACGGGGCATGGGGACATCGCGTGGGGGCACTGCGTGGGGTCAGGGCTTGGGGACACTTTGTAGGGGTATGGCACGGGGACAAGGTGTGGGGACAGGGCAGGGGGATGTGTGGGGACACCGTGTGGGGATACAGCGTGGGAACAGGGCACGGGGACACCACATGGGGGCACGGCATGGGGACAGCGTGTGGGGACACTGCGTGGGGATGGAGCATGGGGACAGCATGTGGGGACATGGCACGGTGATAGGGACTGGGGACACCGTGTGGGGGTATGGTGTGGGGACACTGTGTGGGGTCAGGGCATGGGGACACTTTGTGGGGGTACGGCATGGGGATGGGGCATGGGGACACCACACAGGGGTGTGGGGACAGGACGGGGGGACATCGTGTGGGTGCACGGCATGGGGACACTTTGTGGGGACAGGGCATGGGGATGCTACATGGGGACAGGGCACAGTGGCAGGGCTTGGGGACACCGTGTGGGGATATGGCATGGGGACACCGTATGGGGGCACAGAAAGGGGACACACTCCGGGGACAGGACACGGGGCCATCATGTCAGGACACGGCGTGGGAATAGGGCACGGGGACACCCCGAGGGAGCATGGCCTGGGCTCCACGTGGGGACCTGGCAGGGACACTGAGCGGGGACACGGCGCAGTCCCCACATGGGGACACGTGGGGAGGGGGCCACTGCGTGGGGAACACAGCCGGGGGGACATTGCACGGGGACACAGCGAGCCTGACCCCACCACCCCCATGGCAGGTGGCAGCCGTCGGGGGACCACCACCGAGCGCCGTCCCCTGTCCCCCCATCCCCTGTCCCCTGTCCCCTGTCCCCTGTCCCCCGCGGGCCATGCAGGCTGTGCCACCGCCCGCGCCCGCCGTCACCATGCACCAGGGCTACGCGGCCGTGCTGTGTGAGTATGGGCATCACCGGGGTGTCCCCACGGGGTGTCCCCACGGGGTGTCCCCAAGGGGTGTCCCCAAGGGGTGTCACCGTGCCGGGGGGAGGCTGACGCGGTGCCCGCAGGTGTCCTGGCCGTGCTGAGGCTGGAGGCCGCCGCGCTGGGCGAGTGCGAGCTGGCGCGGCTCCTGCGGGACCAGCTGGGCTACGAGAAGCGCCTGCAGTACACGGTACCCTGGGGGGCAGCCTCCGTTTTGGGGGGGGGCCCGGAGACCCCCCGGCCTCCTCCCCGCCAGCCCCGTTGTGCTCTTTTCCCCATTGCGCCCCCCGGTAGAAGCACTACTTCCCCGTCGGGTACACGCTGCGGGTGCAGTACGAGGAGGTGCTGAGGCCGGCCAACATCACCCGGCTGGTGAGGATGGGGTTGGAGGTTTGGGGTTGGGGTCTTTTGGGGTTGGTGGGTTGGGGTTCAGTGGTTGGGGTTTGGTGGTTTGGTGTTTTGGGGTTGGTAGTTGGGGTTTGGTGTTTGTTTTGGGGTTTGGTAGTTGGGGTTTGGTGGTGTGGGGTTTGGAGGTTTGGGGTTGGTGGTTTGGGGTTTTTTGGTTTGGGGTTTGGAGGGTTGGGTTTGGTGGTTGGGGGTTTGGTGGTTTTTGTGGTTTTGATGGTTTGGGGGTTGGGGTACTGGGGTTGATGGTTGGGGTTTAGGGGTTTGGTGTTTTGGGGTTTGGTGGTTGGGGTTTAGTGGTTTTGATGGTTTGGGGGGGGTTGGTGTTTGGTGGTTTGGGGTTTTGGGGTTGGTGGCTTGGGGTTTGGTGGTTTGGGGTTTTGATGTTTTGGGGTTTGGTAGTTCGGGTTTGGTAGTTGGGGTTTGGTGGTGTGGGGTTTGGTGGTTTGGAGTTGGTGGTTGGGGTTTTGGGGTTGGTGGTTTGGGGTTTGGAGGTTTGGGGTTGGTGGTTGGGGTTTGGTGTTTGGTGTTTTGGGGTTGGTGAGTTGGGGTTCAGTGGTTGGGGTTTGGTGGTTTTGAGGGTTTAGGGGTTGGGGCCTGGGGTTTGGTGGTTGGGCTTTGGGGTTTGGTGGTTGGGGTATTGGGGTTAATGGTTGGGGTTTAGGGGTTTGGTGTTTTGGGGTTTGGTGGTTGGGGTTGGTGGTTGGGGTTTGGAGGTTTGGTGTTTGGTATTTTGGTGCTTTGGTGCCGGGGAGGCCTCTGCTTCACCCCCCTGCCCTCCCCCCACCCCGCAGCGCGCGGGGGCGGCCTCGGAGGCCTCTCTGCGCTACCTCTGGTTCCACGTCAGCGCCCAGGCCGTGCGGCGGCTCCACCAGGTGCTCCCGGAGCAGCACCCGTCATGGCCCTACACCCGCGGCCTGGGCCGGCTGCTGGACGCGCTGGGCACGGAGCACTACGGGCACTACCGGCAGGTGGGGAGGGGACGGGTCGGGGACGGGAGGGCAGGGGGAGGGCCCCACATCTGGCATTGGTGGTTCAGTGGGAGAATTCTCGCCTGCCACGCGGGAGGCCCGGGTTCGATTCCCGGCCAATGCAAAAATTCCCCTTTTTTTGCTTTTTTTTGCTTTTTTTTGGGGTCGGTGCGGTGTTAACTCTGAAGCCTACTGATGGCCTCCCCGCCCTCCTGCCCCATTGCTGGGGATGGGGAGCTGCTGGTGGTGGTGGGGGGATGTGGGGTGGGAGGTGAGCACTGGCTCTGCCCCCCCTGCCCCACTGCTGCCCCCCTGCCCCATTGCTGCCCCCCCTTGCCCCAGAACCAAAGGGGTGGGCGCTATGGGGTGCCCCACATCTGGCATTGGTGGTTCAGTGGTAGAATTCTCGCCTGCCACGCGGGAGGCCCGGGTTCGATTCCTGGCCAATGCAGAGATTTCCCCAAATTTTTTTGCCCCCCCAGTTCCCTAGTGGGGCCACCCCAGTGCTGATCCCTGTGGGATTTCCCCCCCCCAGCACCACCACCTCCCCCTGCACCCCACAGCTGTGGGTTTGGACCCCCTCAGGGTGGCACCGCCACGGTCCCCAGCCAGGTGGCATTTGGGGGGGTGTCCCTGTCCCCATTTTGGGGTGCCCCACACCCAGCACTGTATGGAGTGGGTCAGCTTTTTATAGGGCCGTGGTGCCCCCCCGGGGCTGTTCCATGTGGGGCAGGCGGTGCTGCCCCAGCCGTGTCCCAGTGCCGTGGGGTGCCCAATTTAGGGGGGGAATGGGGACGGGCAGACCCCACATGTGGGGCAGGGCCGTGGGCGAGCCCCATGGGGTGCCCCACATCTGGCATTGGTGGTTCAGTGGTAGAATTCTCGCCTGCCACGCGGGAGGCCCGGGTTCGATTCCCGGCCAATGCAGAAATCCCCAAAATTTTTGTCTCCTATATTCCTGGGTGGGGAGACCCCAGGAGCCCATCGCTGCTCCCCCGCACCCCACAACTGCAGACGTGCAGCCCCATGGGGCGCCCCATGGGGACAGCTCCAGCTTTGCTATCCCATATATCCACGGCGTTAACTCTGAAGCCTACTGATGGCCTCCTGCCCTTCCCCACCACAGGACTCCCGACCGATTCAGCCCCCTCCCTACACCCTTCCCCGCCTCCCCCAGACCCCTTTTCACCCCAAAACCCTTCCGTGTCCCCCCAGAGTGAGGTGACGGCAGCAGTGGCCGAGCTGGTGCAGCGGCTGCACAGCGGCGAGCGGCGCCCCAAGGCCGTGCGCCCCAAGGCGCTGCTGGACAACTGCCTGCGGGTGCTGCGGATGCTCTTCCAGGCTCCCTGTGAGTGGGGAAAAGGGGGTCCGGGGGGGTCCTGGGTGCTGCCCCCCCTCCCTGACCCCCAGACCCTCTGCCCAGGTCAGTGGGGAGCCACGGAGAGCGGCGGCGAGGAGGGGAGCAGAGGAGGAGGAGGAGGAGGAGGAGGGTGAAGGGCGCGCCGGGGGGGCTCTTCGGGCATTTCGTGTTCTTTTTTATTTTTCTAGTCTGATTTTTTTTTCTTTTATAATTTTTATTTTTTATTCCTTCTTTTTTTTTTTTTCTTCTTTTTTTTCTTCTTTTTTATTTTCTTCTTTTCTTTATTTTCTTTTATTTTCTTTTATTTTCTTTTTTTTTTCCTTTATTTTCTTTTTCTTTTTTTTTCTTTATTTTCTTTTATTTTCTTTTTTTTTTCTTTATTCTTTATTTTCTTTTATTTTCTTTATTTTCTTTATTTTCTTTTATTTTCCTTTTTCTTTATTTTTATTTTCCAATTTCCTTAGTTCGCACTTTTATTTTAAAATTTCTTTTAGCTCTTTAAAAAAATTCCCCCGTTTTTTAACATTTTCCTCCCGTCCCGGTCTCCGTTAACCACTTGGCGGCGCCCAGCACCGATTTGGGGCGTGGGGGGGCGAGGCCGAAGGGCGGAGCCGCCGCTCCTCTGCCTCTGGGGGGGGGAATTTGGGGGGACACCGGAGCTGCCCCATGGACATCGCGCCCCAGGGACCTCCCACCCCATAGACATCCACCCCTTGGACGTCCTGCCCCTATGGACACCCCCTCCATTGGCATGCTGCCCCATGGACCTTCTGCCCCATAGACATCCCTCCCCACCGTATGGACACCCCCCCACACCCCATGGACAGCCCACCCCATGGACAGCCCACCCCATGGACCTCCTGCCCCATGGCCATCCCGTCCCATCAACCTCCCGCCCCCATGGATGGCCCTCCCCATAAACATCCCACCCCATGGACCTCCCACCCCATAGACATCCCTCCCCATAGACATCCTACACTATAGATGCCCCTCCCCATAGACATCCCACCCTATGGACCTCCTGCCCCATAGCCATCCCTCCCTATGGACCTCCTGCCCCATAGACATCCCACCCTATGGCACTCCCTCCCCATGGGCCTCCCACCCCATAGCCATCCTGCTCCACAGATGTCCCCTCCATAAACTTCCCCCCCATTGCCATCCCTCCCCATTGACGTCCTCCCCCACTGAGACATCCCACCCCATACCCATCCCTCCCTTATGGACCTCCCACCCCATAGATGTCCCTCCCCATAGACACCCTACCCTATGGCCCTACCTACCACCCAATGGACATCCCTCCTTATGGATGTCCTGCCCCATAAACTCCCACCCCATAGACCTCCCACCCCATAGATCTCCCACCCCATAGACCTCCCACCCCATAGATCTCCCACCCCATAAACCTCCCACCCCATAGATCTCCCACCCCATAGACCTCCCACCCCATAGATCTCCCACCCCATAGACCTCCCACCCCATAAACCTCCCACCCCATAGATCTCCCACCCCATAGATCTCCCACCCCATAGACCTCCCACCCCATAGATCTCCCACCCCATAGACCTCCCACCCCATAAACCTCCCACCCCATAGATCTCCCACCCCATAAACCTCCCACCCCATAAACCTCCCACCCCATAGACCTCCCACCCCATAGACCTCCCTCCCCAGCTCCCAGCCCTTCCAGCTATGGGGCCGGGTGGCACAGGACCTCCTTACGGCACGGTCCCATTGTGGCCGTGGCCATTTATTGCTCTCCAGCCCCGGGGGGCCGGGGGGGGGTCGCCCCCTCACCAGGGCAGGCTCTGCCCCCGCCAGTCCCAGAAGGTGCCGTTGCTGGAGGCCGAGAGGCCGGCGAGGACGCGCAGGACGCCCTGGGTGCTCTCCTCCATCGTCACCGGGCCCTGTGGGGACAAGGACAGCGGCGCTGAGCCCCCCCCCGTGCTCACCCAGAAGGGGGCCTGAAGCTCGGCGTCTCTTTTTTTTTTTTTTTTGGAAAAAAATCCATTTTTGGGTGCGCAATAAAAAATTCCATGAGGCTATAGGGCCAGGGGGAGGCTCCCAGCCTCTCCAGCCTTCTTTTGGGGCAGGATGACCCCAGTTTGGGGTGGCGATGCCCCCACAGCTGCTTGAGGGGCTGGTGGAGCACGGGGCTGGGGTGCCCTCTGCCGACACACGGCCCCGCTGGAGATGGGAAAGTAATGCAGGAAATGGGAAAATAATACAGGAAATGAGGAAATAATGTGAGAAATGGGGAAATAATGTGAGAAACGGGGAAATAACAAGCGGTTCAAGGGAGAACCCGGGATCGTCCCCGTGCTGCGGTGGCACGGAGCCTGTGGGACACGGGTGGGGGCTGTGGGGCGAGATATCCATGGGGGCTGTGTCTGTGGGGTGTGATATCCGTGGGGCACTGTGGCTGTGGGGTATGAGAGCTATGGGGCGTTAAGTCTATGGGACACGATATCCATGGGGTGCGATATCTATGGGGTGTAATATCCATGGGACACAATATCCATGGGGTGCGACATCCATGGGGTGAGATATCCATGGGGTGTGATATCTATGGGGTGCGATATCTATGGGGTGTGATATCCATGGGACACAATATCCATGGGGTGAGATATCCATGGGTTGCGACATCCATGGGGTGCAATATCTATGGGATGCGATATCTATGGGGTGTGATATCCATGGGGTGCGACATCCATGGGGTGTGATATCTATGGGATATGATCCCCATGGGGTGTGATATCCATGGGGTGCGATATCCATGGGGTGCGATATCTATGGGGTGCGACATCCATGGGGTGCAATATCCATGGGGTGCAATATCCATGGGGTGCGATATCCATGGGGTGTGATATCTATGGGATATTATCCCCATGGAGTGTGATATCCATGGGGTGCGATATCTATGGGGTGCGACATCCATGGGGTGCAATATCCATGGGGTGCAATATCCATGGGGTGCGATATCTATGGGGTGCGACATCCATGGGGTGCAATATCCATGGGGTGCGATATCCATGGGGTGTGATATCCATGGGGTGTGATATCCATGGGGTGAGATATCCATGGGCTATGCTACCCATGGGGTGAGATATCCATGGGGGCACCACATCTATGGGGCCTGGCACCCCCGTGTCTCTGTGCCTGTGGGGCACGCTGCCCCCACCCCTCACCTCCTGGCGCCCCGGCGCTGCCTCCACGTCCCCGGGGTCGATGGCGACGCAGAGGATCCCGCTGTGGCCGTACTGCAGCGCCTGGCACTTGGTCAGCATGTTGAGGGCCGCCTGCAGGGACAGCGGGGGGTGAGACCCTATTGGGGGGGGTATTGGGGTCACCCCGCACCCCAACCGGGCCCGTACCTTGCTGCAGCGGTAGGAGACGTCCTGAGCGTCCCCCCAGGCCGCCGCCACCCCGATGGAGCCCATGGCGCTGGAGACGTTGACCACGGCCGCGCGGCTGCAGCTCAGCCCCTGCCCGCGCCCGGCCTGCGCCGCCTCCTGCAGCAGGGGCAGGAAGGCCTTGGGGGAGGGCACGCAGTCACCCCCAGGCCTCCGCCCTATAATTTTGGGGTGGGGTGGTCCCACCGAGCCCTACCTGCGTGACCTGCAGGGGCCCGATGGTGTTGGTGGCGTAGAGCAGGGCCATGTTCTCGGCCGTCTCGGCCTGCAGCGTGCTGTGGCGCCGCGCGTCTGTGGTGTTGATCAGGAGGCCCAGGCCGGCCCCGCGCAGCTCCTCCCGCACCCGGCCCGCTGCCGCCACGATACTGCCCGCGTCTGTCACATCTGAGAGGGGACAGCGTGGGGACACCACAAGGACCTCGTGGGGACACCAACGGGGAACCCACGGGGAAGCCATAGGGGCAAGTCCACAAGGACACCCATGGGGACGTCCATGGGGAGGTCATGGGGACAACTCCATGGGACACCCATGGGGACACCCACAGGGGGTCAGCACCACAAGGACACCCTTAGGGAAACCCATAGGGACAATTCCATAAGGACACTCATGGGGACACCCAAGGGGAAGCCACGGGGGAGCCATAGGGGCAATTCCACAAGGACACCCATGAGGATGTCCATGGGGAGGTCATGGGGACAACTCCATGGGACACCCACAGGGGGTCAACACCACAAGGACACCCATAGGGATACCTACAGGGACACCCATGGGGACACCTGTGAGGGCAACACCACAAGGACACCCCTGGGGAACCCATAGGGACAATTCCATAAGGACACTCATGGGGACACCCAAGGGACACCCATGGGGACACCCACAGGGGGTCAACACCACAAGGACACCCATAGGGAAACCCATAGGGACAACTCCACATGGACACCCACTGGGATACCCACAAGGACATCCATGGGGACACCACCCCCGGGGAACCCATAGGGACAATTCCATAAGGATACTGATGGGGACACCCAAGGGACACCCATGGGGACACCACCACAAGGACACCCATAGGGACACCCATAGGGGCAATTCCACAAGGACACTCATGGGGACACCCAAGGAACACCCACGGGGACACCACCACAAGGACACCCCCCAGGGACACCCCCAGGGACGTGCTGGTGGCCCTGGGGGTTCCCCCAAATCAGCTCCCCGGGCACTGAGCGGCCCCGGCTGGGGGGGGACAGGATTTTGGGGACAGGGCTTTGGGGTGCTGGCACCTACCGAGGGGCAGGACCACGAGGTTGGGGGTGCCCAGAGCCAGCTCGTTGAGGGCCTGAGGGAGGAGTGGGGCTGAGGGGGAGGCACCAGGAACCCCACGGAGCAAGGTGTGGGGCAGGCGGTGCCGGCTGCTGCGCCCTACAACTCCCACCCCACCACCAAAAACCCCACCACGTTCTCCAAAACCATCCCCACCTCCTCAACCACCTCCACCACCACCATCCCCACCACCACCACCACCATCCCCACCACCACCTCCCCCATCCCTCCCACCCCCCTGTCACGGTGACCCCCCCGGTGTCCCCACCTTCCCGTCGGGGTCGGTGCAGGCGGCGAAGAGGCGCCGCGGTGGGCTCGGCAGCTCCAGGAAACGTTTGACCAGCCCCAGCCCCACGCCACCGTCACAGCCGGTCACCAGCACGTGCTGGGCTCCGGGACCCTCCATTGCTTCCCTCCTGCCCCACAGCTGCCCCACAGCTGCCCCACGGCCGCCCCACGGTGCCGGTGTCACCACCACGCGTCCGCCCCCAAACCCTTGGGAAACGGCCCCGTAATTGTCGGGGTGGTGCCGGGGACGCCCTGGGAAGGGTGGGGAGGGAGCAGCGGCGTCACCCCACGTGGGGAGGGTCCCCACAGCACCCCAAAATTTTTTTTGGGGGGGAGACAGGGCCCCCCCCCGGTTCCAATGGAGGCGCAGACGGGGCTAATTACAGTACAACCTTTATTAATACTGGAATCTTCACAGTGCATTCGTTACTCGTAGCAGTGACTATTTAAACCAAGGGCTCGGGGTGGGGGGTGGGGGATAGGGGACGTTACCACCAAAAAAAAAAATAAAATAAAATTAAAAATTAAAAATTAAAAAAAAAGAGGGGAGAAAAGAAAGAAACGTGGCCGAGGGGGCGGGGGGAAGCGGAGGCGGGAGCACGGGGGGGAAATAAATTAAAAAAAAAGAAAGTAAAGGAGCGGGTTAACAACAGCACCAGAAAAGTTACTTCAGTCGAAAGACAATTTTTTTTTTCTCTTTTCCAAGGAATTTTTGCTCTCTGTACAAAATGAGAAGGACTCTTCCCCCCCCCCCCCCCCGCCCCCAACCCCGGACGTTTGTCACTTGTCATCAGCGCGTGGGGGTCACGACAGGGGGGCCGGGGCCGGGCGGTGGCTACGAGGTTACTCCTAGGCGGGGGCGAGCTATGTACAGGGGGGGCTGGGGCCAGGCTGCGCTGCCCCGGGGCTGGCGTTGCCCCCCGAGGGATGGGGAGGGGGACGGGGAGGGGGACGGATGGGTCCTGCGCTGGGGAGGGACTGGGGGGTAAAGGGTGAAAGGGAGAGGAGGAGGAAGGGCAGGGGGAGGGAGGGAGAAGTTGGGAGAGGAAGAGGAGGGAGCAGGGAGCAGAATGGGCTGAGGAAGGGGGAGATGGGGAGGGAGATGGAGGGGGAGATTGGAAGGCAGATGGGGAGATGGAGAAGGAGGTGGGGAGGGAGATGGAAGAAGAGATGGGGAGGGAGATGGGGAGATGGGAAGGGAGATGGAGGAGGAGATGGGGAGATGGAGGAGATGGAAAGAGATGGGAGATGGAGAGGGACATGGGGAGATAGAGAGGGAGGAGGGAAGATGGAGAGAAATGGAGAGATGGAGGGGGAAATGGGGAGGAAGATGGGGAGATGGAAGGGGAGAGATGGAGGGGGAGAGGGGAAAATGGGAAGGGAGATGGAGGGAGAGATGGGGAAAAAGATGCGGAGATGGAGAGATGGAAAGAGACGGGAGATGGAGAGGGAGATGGAGGGAGAGATGGGGAGAGAGATGGAGGGGGACATGGGGAGGGAGAAAGGGAGATGGAGGGGGACGTGGGGAGATGGGGAGGGAGACGGGCGGGGAGATGGAGCAGGAACAGGAGAGCGCAAGACACGGGCGCGAGACGGGAGCGCACTACGGAATTAACGAAAGGAACCCAAAAACGTGAGGAAGGGAAGAAAAACGAGGCGGGGAAGGGCCCAACGCAGGCGGTGACCGGCGTGGTGAGGACGGGGCTGGGGGAAGGGGAGGGGGCGCCGTGCCCTGCTGCGGCCGGGGGTCCCCGCACCCCCTTTTGGGGCTCCCATCCCCACGCTCCCCACCATGTGCCGCCGCTGCCGCCGCGTCCCCGCGGGCACCATCACGATATCCGCGGGGCCGACCTGTCGTTGGTGACGGTCCTGCGCAGGCGCACGCCGCGCCGGATGGCCACCAGCATGTCTTCGGCCGGGGGGTCCATGGCGGGCGCGGGGGGCGGCGCGGGGGTCTCCTCCAGCGCGGTGGGGAAGGGGAACTGCCCCTCGCCCAGGGCGCGGGCGCCGGCCACCAGCTCGCCGATCTTCTCCACCAGGCTGTGCCGGTTGGCGGCCAGCTGCCGGTCCTCCTCATCCTCCTCCTCATCCTCCTCCTCCTCGGCGGCGCCGGTGCCACGCGGCGTCACCGCGCCGGGGTAGACGGGGATCTCGGCCGCGCCGCCGCCGCCGCCCCATGCCGTGTTGGGGAGGCTCAAGCGTTTGGGCGAGGCTTTGGCAAAATCCACGGGGCCGGGCGAGGCGTCCTCGGCGTAGAACACGCACTCCTCGCTGCCCACCCGCGTGGGGCCGGCGTAGGCGGGCGAGTCGGGCACCGTGGGGGTCTTGACGGGGACGATGGGCGGGCGGATGGGGATGGGGCCGGCGTTGGAGAGCGTGCGGCGCACCGAGGGCTTGGTGGAGGGTGTGCGGCGGATGGTGGCCACCCCTGGCGTGGTGCCGGCCGGCAGGCTGGTGCCGCTGGGCAGCCCGGCGGTGGAGGCAGGGCGCTTGGTCTGGATCATGCGCCGGTAGTTCTGGGCGATGTTGCTGTTGCGCGGGATGGTGGAGGACTTGTCGAAGTCGCTCTGGGGCTCGCACTCCACGTCGCCGTTCACCGAGTAGCAGTCGTAGTCGGAGCCTGCGGGGACCGAGCCGGGGGTCACGGGTGGCCCCCCGGGCACCTCCGTGTGCCGAGCCACCAACGCGACGCTTCGCGGCACAACGGCCACCACCGGTGCCATCAGCTCTAACTTTGGTGGCCAACTTGGCCCCAAAAAATACCCAAAGGGTCCCCTTGCTTTGCGCTCCCATCATGTGCCGCGGCACCGTGCGCACCGATGGGTGCGACCACCTCCATGCACCCTTCCCACCCCTAGCCCCAAATCCACCAGATGCAACGAGGTGCCCCCCCTCCTCCCCACCCCGTGTTGGTGCAGGGCCCAAGGAATCGGGGCCAGGCTCGTGCCCTCTTGCGAAACAAGAGCGAAGCCTCGCAACGGGAGCGACGCAACCGGGTGGGACCTCGGTGCCCACGCGGGGTGGGGAAGGCAGCGCCTCCTGCTCCACCCTGCCGCCAGCCCAGCGCCTCTCACGCAACACCAGGGGTGCAAACCCATCCTCGGTGCCCCCTCCCCAAAGCCCGGGGATGCTACAAGGCACCCTCCACCCCACAAGTACCTTGGGAGGGGATGGTGTCCTCGGAGCAGGACGGGGTGGTGGTCTGCGTGCTGTAGCCGCTGGAGTACTGCAGCGAGTCCCGGCTGCTCTTCTGGTGCTCCAGGCTCAGCCCCCGTGTCAACACCATGGCCAGGTCGCTGGCGGCGGGGGACACCTCCTCGCCGTGCTGCGGGGGCGAGGCAGCTCCGTCAGGCCCCCCAAGGAGCCCCCCAAAACCACCCCAAGAGCCCAGCACCGCCGCGCTCACCCCCCCGGTACCTTGGCGGCGATGGTGGCCGGCGACATTCGGGGTCTGGGGGCGTCCTCGGCGCCCATGCCCGGGTAGGCGCCGGTGGCTGAGCCCACCTCGGCCTCCCGCAGGTGCTCCACGCGGTCCTTGCGCCGCTGCAGGGTGCTGACGGCGGGCTGGTCGTAGGGGCTGGCCTTGGACCAATCCTGCAAGCACCGAGGCACGGGGTGGGCACGGGGCTCGGGCACCGCGGGATGGAGGCGAAGAGGAGGAGGAGGAGGGTGGTGAAGGCTTCACCCTGGGGGCTGTGGGGGAGGGAGGACTCACCGAGGTGGGGGAGCTGCACTCGCTGACCGACTGGCACGTCTCCGAGGCCTCCGAGGACGCCGAGCTGGAGGACTTCTGCCGTGGCCCGGGTCCAGGAGCAGCAGCGAGCGCAGGGGGGGCAGAGAGCGCACCCGGTGAGGCGGTGCCGTGCCCACCGCACCCGCTCCCACCCCATGAGGTCCAGAGGGCCCTGGGGCATCCTCGGCACCCAGGATGGGGAAAGCATTTATCTGGGGACGGTACCAAGCGGCTCCCCAAAAGCTTGGGGTGATTGGGACACGGGGAGGGGGCACAGCATCCCCCACGTTCGCCTCCCAAGCGTGCACCGGGGGATTGCGCCCATTTTACAGATGGGAAAACCGAGGCTGGGGAGCTCCATTTCCCCCCTCTCCCCCTCCTCCGCCTCTCCCCGTACCTGGCTGGTGATGTCCGAGGGCATCGGGGAGGGCGGCTTGGAGTAGGCGGCCTCCTGCTGCGAGATGAAGCCGGAGTCGTGCGAGGAGACGCTGGAGAGCCGGGTCCCCGCGCTGGCCGGCTGCGCCAGGCTGCGGTAGCGGTAGGTGGAGGAGGGCGAGCACGTCTGAGCCCCCCCGGGCCACGGGAGCCCACCCTTGGCACTGCTGACACTGCTGGGGGGGGCGTGCCAGGGGGGCGAGGAGGGCAGAGGAAGGAGAGGAGAGCTTGAGAACAAGGCTTGGCACCCCCTTGGGGGTTGGGGTTCTGGGACCAGTCCCTCTGCGTTACTGGGCACCAGTTGGGGACCCCGTAAGGTGAAGGCCGCACCTGCACATGCTGGATTTGCGGGAGCTGGAGCTGCTGGGCGAGGACGGGGGGGTCTGGTAGGACCAGCTGTAGTCGGAGCCCTTCAGGTCCTTGATCACCTGCAGCAGGGAGAGGGTTGGAGCCCCCCCAGGGCTGTGTCTCTCCCCCCCCCATCCCACCCCGTGTCCCCCCCCCCCCTGCTGACCTGCTCGCTGGCGGGGGGCAGCTTGTGGGGCTCGGCGGTGAGCACGGCCAGGTCGTCGATGATGCCCTGCAGGTGGGTGATCTCCCCCAGCATGGTGAGCTCCCCGTTCTGTGCCGGGCGAGGGGAGGGGGCCATCAGCACCTGATGGTGGTGGTGGTGGACCCCCAAAATAACCCCCCCCCCCTCCCCAAAGGCTCACCACCACGGGCTGCAGGAAGGCGATGAAGGTGCAGAAGCGGCCCCGCTCCTCGATGAGCGCCCGGCGCACCGCCTGCTTCTCCGTCTCCTCCAGCAGCAGGTACATGTCGTTGACGTCCTGCAGCGCCGTGTCCAGCTGGGGCTGCAGGTCCCCCTTCCCTGCCGGGGGGACACCGGGGGGGGGACATTAAGCGTGGCTGTGTTATGGGCTGGGGGTCCTGACCCATCCCCTGGGGAGGGTGAGCCGCCGAGGGGTGCGGATGGATGGGGACGTGGCCACCCAAACGGGGACATGGCCACCCAAATGGGGACACTGCTGGATGGATGGGGACATGGCCATCTGGATGGGGACGTGGTCACCCAAATGGGGACATCACCACCCAAACGGGGACATGGCCATCTGGATGGGGACATCACCACTCAGATGGGGACGTGGCCACCCAAATGGGGACACTGCTGGCCGGATGGGGACATGGCCATCTGGATGGGGACATCACCATCCAAAGCGGGATATCACCACCCAAATGGGGACGTGGCCACCCAAATGGGGACATCACTGGCTGGATGGGGACATCACCATACAAAGGGGGACATCGCTGTCCAAAGGGGGACGTTGCTGGCTGGATGGGGACATGGCTGTCCTAAGGGGGGGACATTGCTGTCTGAGTGGGGGACATGGCCATCTGGATGAAGACATGGCCATCCAAATGGGGACACTGCCATCTGGGTGGGGACATTGCCACCCAACTGGGGACATGGCCATCCAAATGGGGATGTCACTGTCTGGATGGGGACATTGCCATCCAAAGGGGGACATTACTATCCAGATGGGGACATTGCCAATTCGATGGGGACATGGCCACCCAAATGGGGACATCACCATCCAAAGGGGGACATTGCTAGCTCGATGGGGACATTGCCATTCGGATGGGGACGTCACCACCCAAATTGGGACACGGCCACCCAAATGGGGACATCGCCATCCCCATGGATGGTGGTGATGTGGGGGGGGGGTGAGCAGGGCAGAGCGCGGATGGACAGACAGACGGACAGACAGACAGACAAAGCCCCAGCAAAAGGGAAGAGCCAGGGGGGTGAGGCGGGGATGGGGGGGGGCGACACGGGGGTGACATCTTTAGGGAGGCGTCCTTGGCTTTCGCCCAAGGTGGTGGGGGGGACACAGATAAGGAAGAGCAGAGGTGGGTCTGGGGGGGGGGGGGGGCAGCGGTTCACTTACCCAGCAGCTCTGTGGGGAGGA